CAACGGTGGTAACATAACCTAAGCGTGACACGTCACGACACGCCACGACGAGGATCGATGGGAGGCCGTAAGTCAACGGTGGTAACATAACCTAACGAGGGTCAGTGACAGGTATGGACACGTCATGCCACGACACGTCACGACACATCACGGCGCGTATGGGTGACACAAAACCCTAATGCGACACACACATAAGCAAGATGTCAGGATGGCCGAGTGGTTAAGGCGCCTGCCTCAAGTCCAGGTCCCACCTGGGGGGGACGCGGTTCGAATCCCTCTCCTGACAGTTTTGAATTTCCGTTGATTCCGTTGCTTATGTCTTTGTCACTTTCGCGCCAATTTTCCCTCACGGTGGTTTTTCGCGTGCCCCACCGCGGCCGCGCGGCCGAGGCCGGGGACCTGCCGTGCACGGACACCCTAGGGTAGGTACTTGAAGTTTGTCATGTCGCCGGTACCGCGCGGCGTGGCACGTTACGGTGGGCGTAACGCTTAAGTGAAAACCAGTATTTTCGCTGCAGCGGTGCACATATTCAGCGAATGGCGACCGGGTCTGTGCGAGAACGTAGCAAATATCTAGTGTTATGGATGGCCCAACGCTAATCTATAACATTTACCGGCATCATAGGCAAAAGTCAAAAAAACACGTTTTGCTGCAATTCCGCCTGCCAACTAGGCAACATCTGTACACACATGCAGACAGCAGGTTGCCTAGTTGGCAGGCGGAATTGCCGCAAAACGTGTTTTTTTGACTTTTGCCTATGATGCCGGTAAATGTTATAGATAAGCGTTGGGCCATCCATAACACTGGATATTTGCTACGTTCTCGCACAGACCCGGTCGCCTTTCGCTGAATATGTGCACCGCTGCAGCGAAAATACTGGTTTTCACTTAAGCGTTACGCTCACCGTAACGTGATGCCGCGCGGTACCGGCGACATGACAAACTTCAAGAACCTACCCTAGGGTGTCCGTGCACGGCAGGTCCCCGGCCTCGGCCGCGCGGCCGCGGCGGGGCACGCGAAAAACCACCGTGAGGGAAAATTGGCGCGAAAGTGACAAAGACATAAAATTCGTTCTTGCGCATGGTTTCCGACATCGCAGCCACCTCCGCTTAGCATTGTTGTAACCTCTACGACGTATACTTTCATTTTACCTGCGTTCTGGGCAGATCGGTGTTCTCGACACCGAAAATGGAACGACCTAGTGGCTATTCTCGCCCGAATCCTCTGGACTGTCCTCACCCTCACCTTCGTACGCAGCCTCCTCCTCGCCTTCATGATCTGACTCATTGGCCTGGTTTCGAGTATGTGAATGAGAAGTAGTTTTGACTACTTCGACGTGCTCTAGACCGCTAATTGTTGTAATGGCTGTAGCGGGACATTTTTTCACGGCACATCGCCAGTAAGTTTTTTCTTTGTTTTGGAGACGATAGTAATATGTGTAGCCATCGAACCGAAGTTTTTCTCCACCGTTTTCTAGCTTTATGATTTTTGCATTCATGCTTATGCTTCTCGTTCAGGCGATGCCTTCGAACTAGATTCTTGCTGCCTAAACGCTGCTTTTATATGTGCGGCTATAATCAAAACCTCCTTCTTGTTTTCTTCTTTTTTAGAATGGGTCCAATGGGTCCAATAAAGGGTCCAA